CCGCCAGCCGGTACCGCACGCGCGCGTTCTGCCCCCAGTCCGCGTCCGTGGCGCGCACCGTCAGCACCAGCGCGCCCGCCGCGTTGTTCTCCCACACGCGCGCGCTGTAGCGCTCCTCCGCGAACACCGGCGCGTTGTCGTTCACGTCCAGCACCCGCAGCGCCAGCACCGCGCTGCTCTGCAGCGCCGGCGACCCGCCGTCGGCCGCCCGCACCGTCACGTTGTACTCCGACACCTGCTCCCGGTCCAGCTCTCTCGCTGTCACCACGCGGTAGTAATCTTCCAAAGACTTCTCTAGCCGGAACGGGACGCCTCCGTCGAGCGAACAGCGCACCTCGCCGTTACTGCCGGAATCCCTATCATCTACGTGCAGTAGTGCGATAACAGTTCCCGATGGCGCGTCCTCAGACATCTCACTGAGCGCTGACCGCACAGAAATCACAGGTGAGTTATCGTTTATGTCCGTGAGGGTGATCCCGACTTTGGCAGTGTCGAAAAGGCCTCCGCCATCACGTGCCTGCACCTCCAGTTCGTAGCAGTCGTCTTCCTCATAGTCCAGGCTCTGTAACAGAATGATTGCACCCGTCTGAGAGTCCAGAGTGAATATCTTCGAGGCTATTTCTGTTATTTTTTTAAACGAGTATTTCACCTGCCCGTTCATCCCCTCGTCGGCGTCCGTGGCCGTGACGGTGGCAAGGACAGAGCCCACGGGCACGTCCTCGGGCACACGCACCGTGTACTCCGCCTGGCTGAACACGGGCGCGTTGTCGTTCGCGTCCAGCACGGTCACACGGATCCGAGCCGTGCCCGTCCGTGCCGGATCGCCGCCGTCCATCGCCCTCAGCACCAGCTCGTGAAACGCCGCCTCCTCCCGGTCCAGCGCCTTGGCCAGCACCAGCTCGGGACGCTGATCGCCGCCGGGGCCCGCCTGCACGGCCAGCGAGAAGTGCTCGTCACCGCTCAGCTCGTAGCTCTGAACGGAATTCCGACCCGAGTCCGGGTCATGTGCGTCTGGCAGGGGAAACCGCGACCCCGGGGCTGTCATCTCGCTAATCCTCTCCTCCACCTCTGTGTCCTTGAAGCTGGGTGCGCTGTCGTTAATATCCATGATTTCCACGAGGATTCGGTAAACCTTCATTTCCCCCTCCACGATCAGCTCACAGCGCAGCACGCATTTCTCCACCAGCCGGCACAGCTGCTCTCTGTCGATCCTCTCCGCCGTCACTAAATATCCCGTCTTCCCGTTCACAGTGAAATACTGCGTTCTGCCTTCCGAGACAACACGGACACCACGATCGGAAAGTTCCGGCAGCTGCAGCCCCAGGTCCTTGGCGACGTCGCCCACGAACGAGCCCTTGGGCAGCTCCTCGGGCACCGAGTAGCGCAGCTGCCCCCACGCCGCCTCCCACGCCGCCAGCAGGACGGCCCAGAGCACAGCTCGCTGCCGCCGGCCCCAGCGCCTCCCCGCCCAGCTCATCTCCGCCAACTTAGCTCCCCGCTGCCGCTGCTGCTCAGCTCCCAGCGCTTGCTGACCTTTCCCACCGGCCTCTCCGCTCCCGGGCCCTGCCCCAGCCTCCGCCGCCTCTCCGCCGCACGGATCCGCACCGGCAGGACGATCGCACACCGCCGCCCGGGCTGCCCACCCACCAATCCAGCGATCGAGCTGCGATCCAGCCTGGCCGCAGCGGGCGGGGCTGCCGGCAGCGCTCCGATCCTCCTCTCGCTCCTCTCGGTCAACAGCGGCGCCCGCAGCCTCCTCCCGGCACTGCAGCCACCGAGCGCTGCCCGCCCTGCCTGCCTACAAACAGGGACCACTCGCCACCCACACGCCGCTTTTTGTCCCGCGCCCATCTCCTGCCTCCGCTTTTCTCCAGCCCATCTCGCCTTTGATCCTCCAGGGCATCACGATCGGGAGGAAGGCAGAGATATTCCGTGAGCGCGGTTCTTTAACCGCACAGGACACTAAGCACTTACTAATGGAATTTTATGTAAATTCAAACACATTTTTCGTATTTTACCCTGTTGCTTGTGGTTAGTCTTATCCTTTTTGTTCAAAACGAGAGGTTTCCATATCCCGAATAAACACAATTATCAGGTTCGTTAACAGAAGCGGGACGAGAGCAATTGCATGCTTCTTCAAGTCAAGGAGCTGATTGTTACAGAATTGAATAACCGGGACAAATACAGATGCAGCTAAAACACTCAAAGGGAACGTTCAGAACTTCAAATCCTGGACATCCCTTCCTATGATAAGTATAGTATTCCTTATTTAACAGAGATTTACGTTTCATCAACTCATTCTAGGTTCCTTTTATTCTGAAATCAACGTGTAAAGCATTCAAGCTCATTACTAAACTATTCATTTATGCATTTCTTAACGACGCTGATACGATGTGTTTCCAAGAAAGGAATTATAGAACCATAGAATAAAAGCACAATTTTGATCTTGAAACTGTGCTGACCACTAATCAATATGCAAATGGGAATGATTCGAGTGCCTAAACCATCATCTTTACAATCTCCCTCATATGTGAACCCTCCGTATACCAGAGGTTTTTCCTAGTCAACAGAATTAGTTGTTCTCGATATGTGCGAGTTCTACTATATCCCAAACATTCTCTATGTAATGAGGATTAAAAAAATCAAAATCTCTGAAACAGAAATCATTCAACACTCACGCCAGAGTATAAAATAAAGACGATGAAGAGCAAAAGAGGGCGAACTGCCAGCCAGGACGCATAAAGGAAGGCATCTGGTCCCACTATTGCATTCTCACCTCAGTAAAGGGTGACAAACTCGGTTTTAACCCAGAATGGAACACAGAACTGTCCACTTTCGTTTCCCTTCTAAATCAAACCGGGACAAAACAAAGTTTAACGAACGGGTTTGTGTAAAGCTCTACATGGGTTGCAAGCAGACCCCTTACTGAACAAAGCGGTCAGAAAGGATAAAAGATCCGACACCAGGTCACAGTGGTTTTCTCCTTTTTCCTCGACTCCATCATGCAGAATCAGCCGTTCACAATCCACAGAACATCAATCTCCTTTCAATACGACGAACACTTTCAAATTTATAGAGCTCAAGTTCTAAAGACAAAACCTCGCGACTGCATCTGAACCTGTGACCAAGGAAGAACCAAGTGCTTCCTCCTCTACCATGAACGGGGCATTGCCCGTTCCTTAATTCACTCCATCACAGAGACAGGACTGTGCAACTCACAAAAGCATGACTCCGGGAAACACAGATAAACACTGAGAAAGGCTGCCACCAGACGAAAGGAGAGCCATAAACAAAGCCTGTCAGATGAATCTTTTACCGAGAATAAAATTGAAAACTCCCGCGGCTACGTGAAGACCCAAATGACAAGTCCCCACTGATGCCACGCAGAGAATACCCGGGGAACAAGGACGACATTTCAGAAACCTTTAAAACCAGAAGAAGCTCACGCTTTACATACCTGCAGTGCACCAGCATGGGCGGGCGGCTCTCCCACCACGACGTTACTGCTCGGGCTCGGCTTCTCGCAGGAATCGCCGCCCAGAAGCTCCTCCGCCGACAGGACGGGCACCGGCGGCACCGGCGGCGGCGGCGGCGGCGGCCAAGCGGCCTCGGGCACGGCGCGGGCCGGCGGCGGCACGCACAGGTTGTAGGAGTAGGGCAAGGTGCCCTCGCAGAAGTCGGCCGGGAAGGCGGCGCCGGCCAGCGAGAAGCGCTGCTCGCCCAGGCAGCGCAGCACGGCGGGGGGCCCGGCCCGGCGCAGCCGCGCCACCACGGCCAGCGCCACGCTCAGCACCAAGAGCGCCGACAGCAGCGCCAGCGCCAGCACCAGGTAGAACTGCAGCTCGGCCGCCGCCGCCGCCGCCTCCGCCTCGGCGCCCGCCGGCCGCTCGCTCAGCTCCGGCAGCGCCTCCTGCAAGCTCTCGGCCAGCACCACGTGCAGCGTGGCCGTGGCCGACAGCGCCGGCTGCCCGTGGTCCTTCACCACGGCCACCACACGCTGCTTGGCCGCGTCCCGCTCGGACACGGCGCGCGCCGTGCGCACCTCGCCGCTGTGCAGCCCCACGCGGAACAGCGCCGGCTCCGACGCCTGCACCAGCTCGTACGACAGCCACGCGTTGCGCCCCGCGTCCGCGTCCACCGCCACCACCTTGGCCACCAGGTAGCCGGCCTCGGCCGAGCGCGGCACCACCTCGAACGGAGACGCCGCCCCTCCCGCCGCCGCCTCTCCCGCTGCCGCCGCCGCCGCCGGCCAGAGCACCCGCGGCGCGTTGTCGTTGCGGTCCAGCACGAAGACGCGCACCGTGGCCGTGGAGCTGCGCGCCGGCGCGCCGCCGTCCTGCGCCCGCACGGCCACCGCGAACTCGCGGCACTGCTCGTAGTCGAAGGAGCGCTGCGCGTACAGCGCGCCGCTCCGCGCCTCCACCGACACCAGCGGCGCCGCGCCCGCCGCGCCCGCGCTGCCGCCCGCCAGCCAGTAGCTCACGCGCCCGTTGGCGCCCGCGTCCGCGTCCCGCGCCTGCACGCGCAGCACCAGCGCGCCCGCCGCGTTGTTCTCCGCCACGTACGCGCTGTACGCCGCCTCCTCGAACACCGGCGCGTTGTCGTTCACGTCCGACACCTCCAGCACCAGCTCCCTGCTGCTCCACAGCGACGGCCTGCCCCGGTCCCGGGCCACCACCGTCACGCGCTGCTCCGACGCCTGCTCGCGGTCCAGCGCGCTCGCCGTCACCACCTTGTACGAGCCGCCCGACGACGCCACCAGCGACAGCGCCGCCTCCCCCGACAGCTCGCACGACACCTGACCGTTCTCCGATGAATCAGGATCGTGCACATTCAGCAGGGCCACCACGGTGCCGACTGGGGCATCCTCGGGCACGGGACTCGATAGCAACAAAATGTTGATCTCGGGCGCGTTGTCATTCTCGTCTGTGATGTCGATCTGCACTTCACAGTGGTCGGTGAGTCCGCCGCCGTCAGTCGCCTCGAGGCCGAGGATGTATTTATTATTTTCCTCGAAATCGAGAGGACCCGCGGTTTTGATCTCGCCGCTCTCGCTGTCGACAGCGAACAACGCCCTGACGGATTCATGGACACTGCCAAATGAGTAGGACACTCGCCCGTT